ACTGCTGCAATGGGTTCTTGTGAGTCAGGAAGTGTGAGGATGGCACAGGATAGAATAGGGTTCAGATCTTTTATTCATGGGGTCACTATGAGTTGTACCCAACTCAGTGGCACCTAACAACAACAACATGGCAGAGTTGACTTCTGGTGTTTATTAAATATTAAATTGCTTTCTATGAGTACTAGCTTGTGCTTGTTTACATAGAAGACAGATAATTCCTTTACTGACAAAACTCTTCCCCAGCACCCACGCTGGGACATTACCTTCCTGCTCTTTTCTGTTGATGCACCTCGCACGCTAAGTCCAGGAGAGAGTCCAAGGACCAGGAAGCAGCCAGGCCAGTCCTCTTCGCTCTGCTTCACAGGAGGCAATGCCGTTTATAGAGGACATTTAAGATCTGTTTTGTAAACTTCTTGCCAGTAGGCCACCAAAGCTCCCTAGTAAATAGATTAGGATCTGCAAAGGGATTTCAGGCTTGTTCATTAGTTTCTATTTGTGAACAGAGCGGCTCCAATCTTGGTTTAATCACTGAAAGTCAAACAGTCTGCTGAGCAAACCCACAGTCAATGTGGGCACCCTCTACCCCTGATGGTATTCAAGAAAGGACACAGACAACAAGATTTTTAATGTGTCATTTATTTAAGCCAAAATCAATGTCTGTTTTCAAGGAGCAGATTTCAAAAATAACAAAAGAAAGTCATGGTGAGAACAAACAATTTTGTTCAAATTTTAGAAAATATTACATAAAGTGGTAAGTCGAGCCTGCGATATGGGAGACTGCTTTGCTGAAAGTCAGATTTCTGCAGACAAAAATGAGCTCATTTGATTCTGAGACTGGAATGCTTAAGGAGCCCTTGATGAAATAGAAAAATTAGTCTGTTGAAAGGCAAGAAATATCATCATGGTTCCGACGAAATGAACAGGTAGGGCATGAACCCAAGTAATGAGATCTTTGCAATCCCACAGGGACTCAGTCACTCAATTGTTCCTCTTTTGAAGCTGTTTCAAAAGTACACAGTGTTATTTTGGTGAACAGCGCACGTCTTGAACAAGTATGAAAATAATGATAAGTGATTTTTTAGTTTAGAAGTATGTTGCTCCTAGTTGGATTTGCCCACCAAAAGTGGAGGAATTGAGAGAATGGACCCAGGTCTTTAAATTGTGTTAAGGAAGGCATTTTGGGGCAACAGATGGATCCAAGTCCACCTCATTATCTTTCTCTGTGTGTGTATGTGTATTATGTGCATGAAGGAAGCTTATACAAACATGACCATATGACCTGATAAAAACCAAACAAAACTGACAGTGCCAAACAGTCACCAAGTTGAGATGCTGGAAGAACGACAGAGATTGTCGTTGGGGAAGGAGCTGAACGAAGCACTGGATTTTGGACTCAAATCTGATACTTGGAAATTATGTCACATTGGGCAAGTCCATGAACCTCAGTGAATGCAGTCTTTCATTGCTTGGAGGATGAAATGGAAACCACAACGTCTCATTCTGACTTCCCTATCCTGGAGGGCTGTGAAGGAAGCAAAAACTAATGACACATGTTCAAAGGCACCGACATAGGGAAGATGCACGCTGACTTTCCATGTTTGAGAGGCTAGTGATTTTCTTCTCTTCAACATTCTGACCTCACCTCACTGTAGCACCTTCTTTTTTTTCAGCACAATTCTTCATGCTCCTGATCAAAAACATAGAAGCACATTTGATCATCACAATCTAAGAACTTCTGGTTCTTCAGCATTTAAATCCCTTACATAGGATGCAGGACCTACCTACTTTCTCAGCAGTGAACAGCCTATGTGATGTTATAATGAAAGTTACTCGGATACATTACTTGTTACTACCTTCCCAGAGACATTTATAAAGACGTAAGACTCAGTAGTGACAACACACAGGCCTGAAAGCAGTGCATTAATTATTTTATTAATTTCTCCTTTTTACATTATTGGGAAACATTCATCTATTTACAGTTTGTTGGTTTGTTTTGTTTTTCTTTTGTCCACACACAATCTAGGTTAATAAGCCTATGAAATTCCAAGTCATAAAGCCATAAAAATGTTCCCCACCCTTCCTTCTGAAAGCTTTCAAATGAAACATTTTTTTTAAAACCAATCCAAAATAATTTTTAAAAATTACATTTGGGAATACCAATAAGCTAGTGATTTACATTCCATTTATTTAAAATATGCATCTAGACATGTTTTTAAAAAAGAAATGATCAATTCACAATCGGATAAAGTTTAAATTAAAGTGGGAATGCACAGTAAAACATTAAGGAAACATCTATAAATAACAGAAATATATTACAAATAAATTAGTTCTATTTACCATTTCAAATATTAAAAATCTTTAATCCATTTCTTCATCTCTCTTTACAAAAAGGTTATGAGAATTGTATGGAAACATCTGCAAAAAATATAATAAATACTTGATTTCTTTGAAGGGTTTTTTTTTCCTCTGATGTGGGAGACAAGCTTTTCTTTTGTAACCCCCCTCCCCAAGAAAATGCCCAACAACTTTATACCAAAGTTAAACAAAATAAGTAATTTTTAGGGTACATACATTTTCCAGTAAGAACTAAAAAACATTACTACAAATCACATCAAAAAGAACAATGTAACAAAGGCTATGCCCATGATTATTTAGTTTAAGGGGTCAAGTGGTTAACAAGCAGCATTGCTTGGGGCCATGTGAGGGTTTTGTTCATCAATAATTAGCTTTTTATAAAGTGTTTTTACAATTTAAATTGTGTTAAGGAAGGCAAGGTCATGATGCCTGTTCAAATATGAACAAGTAGGCATTCAGCTAAAAGATTTAAAAGTCTTACCAAAAATATCTTATGAATATACAAATACCATTCACGTAGACAAGATAAATTGGCCTTCACTTGTCTCTCTTTAAAAGATCCGGGCTATATTGGTTTCCAAAGAAAATATTGTAGAATGATCTTGAACCATATTACTAACATATGTTTTAATTCAATTCCTAACTCTACCTCAGGGCACTGCACTGTAGTGAATGTGACTCTTCCAATGGAGGCTGCTTCCTGCTGTTCTGTGAGTTCCAAGCCATTTTCAGTACTGAGTGGGACCGAAAGCTACCCGAGGTGGCAGTTGGCAATACCAGATGCAAACACTCTATAACCTTTCATTGCTGCTACAAGGTGAAGAAAATGTGTATTCTCTTAAAAACTGGCAAATAGGTGAAGCTCAAAATCTCTGCATGCTCCCATTTTACAAAGCACTCGGGATACTTAGCTCACCCTAGTTAAAAGTTGGTTGGTTTTTAAATAATAGCCCTTTTCTTGTAAACCACAGCAGTAAACATTTGTGCCCTGTTTATAAAGATAGCTCAAAGCTTCAATGGCTCTGAGAGGTAGCGAATTCCCTAGTGATTTTACACATTGATGAAGAGATTTGTTGCCAGAATCCATCACCTCTCTTAGTTTCAAAAAGAAAATTAAATTAGCACCTGCTATGAGAGTGTATTTTTTTTAAAAGCTTCTCTGGTGCAAGTGTGTTTTATGCATGATTTAAAAGTCTTTCAATTTTCCATATTATCTAGTGCTTTAGGGTGTGAGCCAGACAAAAGATGCCAGTGACACTATAAGGTGGCCACAGTCTAGATGTTTAAACTGCTACTAGGAAGGGCATTTAATGAGAACCGCAGCTAAATGCAAGAGCATAGTGCCCATCAATTGTGATAAAAAATTACATTCTCTGCCAAATGCCTCTGCTTCTTCCCATGTTTATGAATCAAAACTTTCCTCCTTTGTCATGGGCGCTGAACCCTGCTGGTCAACCTTCTTTTCCACTACACGAAATCTCAAGATGACCATAAACAGTTTTTTGGAATGATGCAGCATGTCTACTGGGGTGAATATTGATTCGCTCAGTTTGGCATGGGACAAAATCTTCATCACTAGGACAGGATTGGTATGAAAGGATTCCGAGTGGTTAAATAGAAAGAGGACAAGAAAGTAGAAAATATATCTTAAATATGAACGAAAAGACAGATGGGTAGCATTCAGAGTGATGACAGGAAAACCTACACTTTCCTCTGAGAACAGCTCTGGGGCCATTTCCAGCAGTCTGCAGGCAGGCGTGCACTGATACCAGGCTGGACAACAACAAATTAATAGAACCAACAGCACTCTATAAAACCACTGCCACAGCAACATGATGCACGTCGTACAATAAAAGTGGATAAAATATTTCAGGTCTGAGTGTTCTTAATAACAGAACCAAAAAAAAAAAAATCCCCTGTGTGTTAGCTACACTGATGAGAGTGTTCCTTGCCTCGCCTTCTTCCTTTTATTGCCTTTCGGAATAGATTGATTTCCCTGAAAGATCGAATTTACAATCGTCTGCTGATTGAACGTCTGAAGCAGTGATTGATGAAATAACAGCGGGACAGGCTGCGCGGGTGGGGGCAGGGTGGCAGGGACCCTGGAGTCGCCAGGGGCACCTGGGCCCACGTGTCTACTTCCCACTGCCCGGCTGGGCCCCTCCCGAGCTCCCTTAGCGCACGCCCTGTGCGGCACTCCTTATTTGGGGTGAAATGGTATGATTTCTGAGGTTGGAAATAAAGTGCTCCATCTGCTTTTAAAAATAATATCAGTTTAAGGGAAAGAAAGAAAAAGAAAAAACAACAACACACAACCCAACAACAAACAAAAGGCGCAAATCCGAGCCCTAGTTTCTCTCTCGTGGAAGACGGTCGAGTCCTCAAGGACCACCTGGTGCTGGCTGGCGGTTTGGTTGGTATTGCTGGGCTCTAGGAACAGACTAGCTAGTAGGTCCGAGGATGGAGCGGGACTTGGGGCCGCTGCTATACAGGTGTGTCTGGTGTGGCCAAGAAAATAAAGGGTTGTGTCTGCTCGAGGCGGGGCGACAGCACGGGGACAGGGGCGCCGGGGGTGAGGGATGTGGGCGGCGGGGAGCCCAGGGACGGCGCCTAGAGGGGGACGGGACGCCACGACGTGGGGCGCACGGCGGGGCGGGCGGCTCAGAGCCGCGTCTGCGCCTCGGGGATGTAGATCTCGATGCTCTCCGCGCTCTCGGTGGCCGAGTTCTGGCGGACGGACGCGGCGCGCTTGGCGGCCATCAGGCGCTTTCGGGCCTCCTGGCGCTGCGAGCTCTCCAGCGAGCGCTCCCGGATCAGCGGCGCGGGGCCCTTGGCCGGCTTCTTTGGCACCGGAGGAGGGACCCTTCTCTCCTGATCAAAGCAGAAGGTTCAGGACATTACACAGCTTCTCAGGACAAGCTCGGGAAAAACTGGATAGGTCAGTAGTTAGAACACATTATTATTATTTTTTTTTTTTTTTTAAAAACAACCCTGAGGGTGGTTAGGTCTTATCTGCACTTTGTAATTGCCTTTTCTTCATTATTCTGGTTGGATAGTCAAAAGATGGAAGGGAAGGAAATATCAGAAAGCTTAAAGCCACGGTAGGAATGGATTACAGAACTAGCCCTTTCCAAGGTGAGGACGCGGGTATTTAACAGACCCAGGCAGAAAGGCTGCGCTGTCCGCTCCGCGCACACCGCGTGCTCTTCTCTCTGGAAAATTTCAGACTCTTCCTGGTGCAAGATGAGCAAGGAAAGCAGCCACAGGGCATCCTACCTGCATCTCCAGAGTTTAAACATCACCTCCCTCTTCCTCAGTCCAACCCTCTGCCCCACCGCTGTGCCCCACACAAGCTGAAGACACTTTAAGAGTGGAAGGCTGTGTCTCTCAGTTTTGTTGATGCGTTGAAGTGCACTGTTTGCAAGTCACCGACAAACACACAAGCAGTGTGCTGTGCAGGGCCTGGGGGAGGGAGAACCTCTGAGGGCTCTGATGATTGTGGTGTCCCAGAAGGCAATTCTAATCACAAAGGAGAAAATGCAGCCCAGTGCCATGACACTGTCACAGTGTCAAAAGAGTTGTCAGGGATTGAATTCTGTCTCCCAAAATATTTGCCAACTTGGCTGAGTGTTGATCACACTTAGTGGCTAGGCAGTGATGAAATTAGGCATTCATCCCTAATGATGGGATATGATGTGACCAGCCAATCAGTTGTCAGGGAATTAAAGTGAATGCAACACCTTTCCTCAAGTGGGGGGACAGTAAGAAGCCAGCTGAGAAGGAGGAATCTGACTGCCACCAAGGAAGAAGAGCCAGGAGTGGAGCAGATCCTTTGGATCCAGGTCCCTGTGCTGAGAACATGCTAGACCAAAGGGAACAGTGAGCCAAGGCACGTGGAGATCTGCAAGGAACTCTGGGCTTACAGACAGGAGACCAGGGTCTTCCCCACCCAGGAGAGGCAGAAGATCTGCTTCCTAAAAATTGTGGTGTTTCTGTGATGGCAGCACTAGATAATAAGATAGAATCTGGTACCAGGATGCTGCTCTGACAGACATTTGAATATCTAACAGACTTTGGCAACAACATGCTCTTCTACTAAAATGTGGATGTAGTTTTGGAACTGAATAACAAGTAGAGGCTGAGTGAGTTCAAGGTACTTAACTAGCCATCAGAAAGCTCTGGTGTAAAGCTCTAGTAGTAAGGAACTGTGCTACCAACACAAAGGTACACAGTTTGAATCTACCACCAGTTGCTCTGTGAGAAAGATGGACAATCTCCTCTTGTGCAACCCACTGACTCTGAAAAGCCCACTGAAGGGTCAGCTATGGGTCAGATCTGAATCAACGATATACAACATTAGTCTAGTCATTCTGCGGGAGAAAGATGTGTCAGTCTGTTTTAAAGCCTTAGAATTCTCACAAGGTAGTTCTATTCTGCTGTGAGTGGGAATCAAATTTATAGTAGTAAGTCTGGGGTTTTGGATTGGGCTAGAGTTTTTCAGCCTTTTGTTTTTCCTGTCCTATTTTATTGTTGTTAACAAAAAACCCCCTGGGCAATCTTCAAGACTGAAGAAACTAAAGAAATTGTTGTTGGTATTATGGGCATCAGAGGCAATTCTTGTGTGGGTAAGTAAGAGGAAGTAAGGAGAGCTTTAACATCAGAGAAACAGTATAGATGGTGAGAAGCAGTGAAAAGGAAATGCTGGCAGTAGAACTGGGAGATGGCATAAGATGGCTTGGGAGCTGACCCACAGATCAAGAAAGCTAAGATCCTTGGCTTCTTGGTGGAGCAGGGTGCCTCTAGGCACTGGACAATGGATATAGGCTGGATGATCCATGGGTCAAGAGAGCTGAGTACCTTCAGGCCCAGTCTTACTGGTGGAATAGGTGCTTCTGGGTCTTTATCAGTAGAACTAAAGAACTTTGTGACATTTGTATGAGTAGAGTTGTCACTGGGCCAGTCCAAGAGGCCAAAGGGCCAGGAAAGCAATGAACCAGGAAGCAGAGGGTGGAAAGAGAAAATACCCTGAGATGAACTGGTTTGTTCTCAAAGTGTAGGGCCATGACCTGGGGGTCTCAAAGGGTGGGCCTTCTAGGTTTCAGAGTCAGATCTTCCCCAACTCATCTCTGGAGTGTGTGGATGTCATTTACTAGTGCCAGGGGGCTAGGGCAAGAATCACTGTGCAAAGCTGAGGAAAAGGGATGCTATCTATGTCCAAGGATCAGAAGAATGGGGCCTACTGTGGCAAAAGGGGTAGAGTTGCCAGTCAAGTGGACTTAGGAGAATTGGGCCCCCCAAAGCCCAAGGGAACAGGTTTGACAACTATGTGGGTCTGAAAGATGGGGCTAAAGCCAAGGCCAGGGAGCCTCCCCTCAGAATCCAGAGATTATAACCAACATCCAAAGTCTGGAGGGCTAATGACTAGATGGCCTCAGAGAACAGAATTTTTTTCAAGCCTTGAAAGCAATTGTAAATTGTTCTGTTGGATTTCTTGATGCCCACTATATCTTCTTTCTCTCCAGTTTCTCTGATTTGTAATGGAAATGCCTACCTTATACCATCATTGTACTTTGTGAATAAGTAACATTTGTTCTCTTTTAAAGGACAACAAAGAATTTTGCCCAAGATTTTTGGGTTGATACTATAAACTGAAAGTATTTGGAAAGAACATAAGGGTAAAGGGTAGAATGCCATATATTGAACTGTGCTCCCTCAAAATAGTAAATCTGGCTAGACAAAGATTCTCATGGTCTGGAAGTTATGAAATGATGTAATGTGGCAGTTGTGCAGTGATGTCATCACTCCCCATTATGTGATCAGTAAGTTGGAAGGCAATTAGGATAGGATGCAACACTCATACTCAGATCAATGTCCTGATCTGATGTAAGGTGAGTTTCCCTGGAGTAGAGGCCTGTATCACCAGGTATCTTTCAAGACATGAAAGATCTGAGAGAAAATGAAGTGTCTGATTACTACCAAGAAAGAAGAACTAGGAGTGGAGTGTAGCTTATGGATCCAGGTCCCTGTAATAGGAACCTCCTAGACCAAAGAGAGAACTGATGTCAAGGTACATGGAGATCTCCAAGGAATGTTGGCCTCAGGGAGACAAGGACCTTCCCCCCCACCCCATCTGACTGAGATATTGTCTTCCCCTAAGGACTTTCTGCTTCTAGCTTCCCTATCAGCAGTAAACTGTAAAACACTTTGCTGTTGTTGTTGTGTGCTGTTGAGTTGAGAACCGACTCAGTTGACCCTCCACTGGGTTTTCAGAGGCAGTAAACTGCACAGAAGGAGACTGCCTATCCTTCTCCTATGGAGAAGCTGGTGGATTAGAACTAACAGCCTTTGAAAATGCAGCACAGTTTCTTATCATCAAGCTACCATAGCTCCCTAATAAAATACTTAGATATTTTAAATGTCACTTGGGAAAAGCAAAAGGCATTTATCTCTTTGTCAGTAATACGACAGAAGTAGGAAAAAAGAGAAGCATCAAAAATTTTGTTGATTGACAATCACAAACAGCAGCTATACCCAGGAACCTCACTTAATGTAATATGAAAGAATAAACTTTAGTACATTTGAGGAAGGAAAAGATTTTGTTGAATTTTCAGGCTGTGAAAAGGTCTACACAAGTTTGTTTCATTTTAAATACTCAATTTCTTATGTGAATATAAAAATAAAAGTGTGAAAATTTTCCCTAACACATGTGTCTTATGTGTTTCAAAGGGCATTTTATGTGCTAACACTTCAGCTCATCACAGTACCCTCTCTTTGTTAAGAGGATGAAGTGCTGGTTAAACCTGTTACACCACAGTGAGGGGTCTAGAGGGGGGTCTCTGTGCCCTAAAGGAGCAGCAGGGGGAGCACAGAACACAAATACCATCTACCAACTCTGGTTTTGTTCATTTTCCCCCCTTAAACTTCATGTGATGCTAAAAAGCTCTGATCATAGAGCAAAACCTAGTTACTGTCAAGTTTTTTTCTGATGAATGATGACCCCATGTGTTGCGGAAGAAGTCGTGCTACACGGCCTATCAGTGGCTATGATGGTTCGGAAGCAGCCAGCCAGGTTTCTTCCAAGGCCCCTCTGGTGACTTGAAACCCTGCATTACTAGTGGAGCCCTTAGTTAGAACTGCCACACAGAGACTCCAGAGAGAGGAGTTGTAGAAAAATCTAGGGGTTGAGTTCATTAATGCCATACTTTGCAAACATCAAAAGGCTACATACCACTTTTGGATGTTTAATAAATCTTCATTGTTGGATAATAGTGGGTATTTTTAAATGTATGTAGGCTGGAAATTTTTAGTCATATTTTCTTTTCCTTGTGGTACATTAACATTTTTTAAATAATTAAATCAGTGCATGAAAAATTATGATTCAGCTGTAGAACCTAAATTACCAGGGTGTATGTGTGTACAGACATGTATTATGTTTTCTCATATAAGACCAACTTTAAAACTTATTTAGCAGAGAGTTTGAAATACAAATTAAAGAGAACTGCATTGGGTACAACGGTTTGCTTTCCCAGGTGATACACCAGATGTTCATGCTCAACACTAAAACCCCCAGCTTACTTGGAGATGGGAGCACTGGTGAAGGATTGGCCTTCTTTTCCTTATGGACTGCCCCTCAGGGCTAGAGGTCTCCTGGGAATCCAGGGGTCTAAGAACCCTGGTTCTACAGCAAGTAGTAGCCAAGTAGGTGGCTTGTTAGTAGACGAGAAAACCTAAATGGAAGGGGGCACCTCGAGCATGGATGTAGAGGATACAGACATCCCTGATTTTCACAAGTTGATCGTCATGGATCTAGCTGATCGCAGGCCATAAGAAAACAAAAGGTTTAAAAAGTGATGCATGACACTGGATACCTGCTTGGGTCTGTTACAGCCTCATAGTCAAGTATGAAAATTATAGTTCCCGAGGCAAATCAACCAAAGTTAAACTCCTTTGGAAAAGGAAAAAAAAACCCCTCAACATTTCTCATTACTTGAACTTTATGTTAGTCTCTTAGACTTGAACAACAGTGATTCTCTTTTTTTTTAAATTTTTAGATTAAGGAAATGATTCTCAGAGTCAGTTCCATTTTGGGGGCTCCCTATTTTCTCTCAGAAATACAACTTAGGGGTGCAAGGAAGTTGGACTCTTGCTCTCTGCAGTCAAATACTGAAGATGCCATTTATTTTAGTTTAAAAAGCAAAATGGAGGCAGTTGCTTCCAGGGACTAGAATGGTTTAAACTTAAAGTTTAATTAACAAAAAAAAGGCCACAATCCCATTTTCCGATTCACAAAGACAAGCTTCTCTTTTAAAAATAAGCCTGAAACATATTACAGATAATTTCCCAAATTACTATGTAAACATTGTCATTACAATGAAATGAATATGATATTGGCTCCATTTCACACTGTAAACCGCAGGGCTGAATGCAGAAGCCTACTTAGACTGTCCACTGCTTGTGCAGGATTTTAAATGAACCATACAAAATCTACATTGTTCTACCTTCTTGTCAAGAGGATCCATCTGTTTCCAGTTATTGGCCTTTAACTGATGGAGTTCATCAAATTTCATACTAATATTTTCTATGGACAACTGCAGCATGTCCCAGAACCCCGCCAAATCCTGGGAGCTGGGCCTTGGATGCGCATTTGGATTCTGGAGAAGAGAAAGAAAACAGTCATGCTTAGAAGCGACCCGTGGCAGCAAGTACAGGACCAGCGCAGCATTTCAGAGAATGTGGGGGTGGCTGTGTTTCTTTTGCTTTTCAGACAGGAGATAAAAGCAAGGCTATAAATGGTAATTTTATACACTAATCCACTCTGAGTCAGTGATTCTCAAATGCCAAGGTTGTAAACCACTTCTGCTGTAATTCAGCATCCATCAGTGCCATATGGGAGGGTTTAAACATCTGAAGAGGGAGCTCTGGTGGCCTAGCCCCTAGGGTCCTGCACTGCTCACCCAAAGGCAGAGACTCTCAGATGGTTCAAAACCACCAACAGCTCTTCTGAAGACAAATGGCCAGTTTTCTCTTGTTAGGCAATTAACAGTCTTTCAAACATGCTGGAGGGAGAGCTATGAGTCTGTTTTGACTCAACAGCAGTGAGAGAAACATTTGAAAAATCCCAGAATGTGTCATCTTTTACTGATGATGCATTTAAAAACTCTAGGTCCAGAAAAACAGATACTAGCTTTGACAACATAACTCTCACATGAGGTTTTAAGATCTTACAACACATTTGGCTTGATTGTATCAGTAACTAAAAACTAAACTGCTCCAGTGTTGAAGTTCAATGAATCTTCCAGGCCACCAAGTCCATTTCTAAATTGTTTCAGTGATCAATGTATGAAATGATGGGTCAATGAGGCCAACTAGTTTGCCTAATTTCCTACTGTGGGCAACTAGTTCCTTTTTCAGTAAGAATCTTGGTCTTTTTATGTGCTGTCAAGTCCTACTCACAGCTGACCCTCCAGCAGGTTTTCAGAGGTTATAAAATCACACAGGAGTAGACTGTTCACGTTTCTCCTGTGGACTGGCTGGTCCATTTGAACTGCCTGCCTCTGGGTTGGCAGTACAACGCCCTACCTCTAGGCACCTCATTCTCTAAGAATCTCATTTCAGCCACTTTATTAAGAGGATGGATGAGGGAACTGAGGGAGAAAGTCCCATTCTGCATTGAGGTATCAGCAGTAGCTCACAGGCTGAAGCATCAGCTGCTCCTTGAAGTACCGGAAGTCTTCCTGTGGGCCAGAGGTCAGGAAGGGGGTGGAGGGATGAGGAGGGCTGGCCTCCAGTTCTTTACTGTGCATCCTAAGCCTGAGAATTGAGTCTGGTGTAATGTGCAACTGGGGTTACAATCAAAGTATTTCCTTCCTCCCGTTCTTAGGATGGGCTCAGGGAAAGATCAGTGGAACTGTCTTTGGTCAAAGCAACATAAATGGATCAGTACCGCTTCAATATGTCTCTCCCCCAAGACAGAGAAGGGCTGCAATGAGGCACAGCAGTCTTCCTTGAGCGGGAGAAGAGCAGAGCTCAAATCCTGGATGGGATTTAGTGGTGGATCAGTCTGAGATTTGAATCTTGGTTCTGCTTCCCACCATGGGCCATGTTACATTGTCCTTCAGTGTTGGGAGCTCTGGTGACCTGTGATAGGAAGCTGCACTGCAATCCTGAAGGTATGCAGTTCAAATCCATCTGAACTGTAACTGCCTCTGGAAAAGCACTGGAGAGTCAGCTATGAGTTGGTTCAGACTGGATGGTACACAACAACCACTACCATATCACATAATGTCACTGTCATTCCAAGGCCACTCCATGGGCTCGAGCATATCTGAGATTGTGAGACTGGTTGTATGTCTGTTGTTCATGACGTGGTAATGAGTCATGGTCGACTGGATGGCACCTAACAACAACAACAACATTCCATAGGGTTGTTTGGAGGTTTTAACAGGATCATAAATCTAATTTAGCTATCTGATCTATCACAGGTGGTCTACAGCAGGCTCATGATGATGCTGCTGAGCTCTGGCTTGGCCAGCACACCCAGTGCAGAGCCCTGAGCACCTCTGACAGCACCCCACATATCCTGCTGACTGAGCTCATCTAGTGGACGAGGAACACCCCTCCATACGCAAGATTCGCCAAAGGCCAGCTTCATTAGAGCCAGCATTTCCTCCACATCTCCAAATTTTTCTAATTTTTTTCCCTGTGGTTTCATCTTTAAAATCTGCAGTTTATCTTTTACTTAATAATATACTTGCTCCTTGGAGAGGGACATCATGTTTGGCAGAGTGGAGGGGCAGCGAAGGAGAGGAAGACCTTCGATGAGATGGATCGATTCTGTGACTGGAGTGGTTGGAATGAGTGCATTTGAGATGGCTAGGTTGGCACAGGATAGAACAGCATTTAGAGCTCTTGTACATAGGGTCACTAAGAGTCATAAGCGACTCAATGGCACATAACAACAACAACAACAACAACCTCATATAATGTTTTGGCAAAAAGTATGCTGTGCTTGTCCTATGCAAGTATGAATTGACCTCCACATGGACTTACTGGCCATTTCAACAAGATATTTTTGTATGCACTTTCTTACACTTAAAGGAGAATGGACACTTGTGTTACTTAAACTCCACCACACAGTGTGAGTCAGTAAATTAGCAGAAGTTCTCTACCTGGTACATCGCTGGAGCTGAGGAAAATATCTGTTGAACGGAATACACTTATTCGTAAACTTAGGAGCTCTGTTGGCACCACGGTTAAAGCACTCAGCTGCCACCACAAGGTCAGTGGTTTGAACCCACTGGTCATTCTACAGAAAGAGCTAAGGAAGGCAGTCTTCTCCTGCAAAGATTCCTACCCTTGGAAACTCTAGGGCAGTTCCAGTCTATCCTGCAGGACCGCTCTGAGTTGGAATCAACTTGATGGCAGCGGTCTGGTTTGGTTATGGTTTTTTTTAAAATTTGTTTGTCACGAGATTAACTGAGATAATATAAATTTATCTTATAGTTTTTGTTGTGTACTGTTGAATTGGAACCCATCCATAGCTGATTCTCCAGAGGATTTTCAAAGGGAGGAGATCTCCCATCTTTCTCATGTGGAAAAGCTGGTGGATTTGATCCTCACACTTTTGCACTGGAAGTGTAATTCCTTACTACTAAGCCACCAGAGCTCCCTTATTTTATAATTGCTATTGTTGTTATGGTTGTGTCCTGTTGAGTTAGAACCCACCCACAGCTGACCCTCCAGCAGGTTTTCAGAGGCAGTAAATCACATGGGAGGAGGCCCATCATTCTCTCTTGGAGCAGATGGTGGATTTGCACTGAATTTTGTGTTGGAAGCACAGTTCCTTACCACTAAGCCACTAGAGCTCTCTTACCTTATAATTAGGAATTGCATTTCTGTGGAAATGAAGGGCCAGATAATTTTTGTTGATGGAAGGAAATAAAAATACTATAGATGGAAAGAATGGTTAGCTCCAAAGGGGGGTTACAAAACCCAAAATCTAGATGCAAAGGATAGATAGCACCAACATAAACACATTTGGTATTTTCCTCGGTTGAGCACTTTCCAGACCCCTCTCAGCCTATGCTGTCCATAGTAGCAAGAGGAAGGGGTTAAAACTCTTACACTTATTACAAGATCATATTATGTGTCATTTAAGTGTCAAATAGTGATGCGTTCAGTTTCTAGAAAAGAAGTTGCTTGCCATACTCTGGTGAACAGTGTTTGGTGGAGCTTCTGGGTTAAAACAAGCTTGGAAGCTGAAGTGGCACCCATTTCCATAAATTGCTTGCCTCCGGAAACTCTATGAACCTAGAGAAAGGTGAAAGTCACGCAAGTGTTGAGGACTTTTGTTCATAGGGTTGCTGAGTCGCCTACGACTCGATGGCACTTAACAACATAGAGAGAGACCAGTTAGCCTAGTGGACAGAAAGTGATGCTAACAAGCCAAAGGTGGGTGACTAATCCGCAGCTCTCAGGCCTGATTGTCATTGTTTTTGTTCAGTCTTCTAGGTGGTACAGCCCTAGTGTGTCCACTTGCTGTATAGAGGTAACTTGTGGTTGCTGTGAATCTGAGCACTGTGACACTGATGTGTCAAATGCGATAACAGTTACCCATGGTGGACAGTGTTTGGTGGTGCTCCCTGGTTAAAACAAGCTTGGAAGCAGGACTGGCATCCACTTCCGTAAATAGCTTGCCTCCGGAACCTTATGAACATGGAGAAAGGATGAAAGTCATGCAAGTGTTGAGGACTTTCATTCATAGGGTCGATATGAGTTGCCTATGACTTGACTGCACTTAACACCACCACCACCACCACCACTGATTGGGCCATGAAAGCTATTCTGTTGAAATTACATTTGCAGAGAGAAGAGCTATTAAAAACAAAAGTGAGGCAGCATATACAAGGAGGCTCTTTCTTAGTTTTATTATTTTTAAACTTTTACTGTTGGTAGCTGGGTTTTTTTGTGCGTGTGTCTTTATTTTGCTTTATTTTATTTTTCTATGTCAAAAAATTGTGGATCTCATCTATTTCATCTCTGAAAGATCAAACAAACATTTACTTGGGATTCTCTGGGTCTTCAGATTAAAAAGAAGCTCTCTAATTAGGGAGTGGTCTGCCATTCCAGAAAGAAAATCCCCATGCAGAAAATGGTGGCTTTATAACATTACTTTTGAAATATCAAGTTGTACTTTCTGGTAAAAATAATAGTCAGAGACAGCCTGTGAAAACTTTTTAAAAGGAAAACTTTAGTTATAAACGCAGTAGTTTTAACTTGGGGGATTTCCTTCCCCTCCCCTTTTTAGGCATTTCCAGGTATGAAATGCATGATTTTTCATTTTAAGGAAAGCAAGAGGTAAGATTCATCAGAAAACTCTACTTCAGGTGAGAGAGATCTCAGCGGACTTTGACCTGGTTCAAGGTCAGTTTTATGTCAGGGGGGTTCGTCTTGGTGGCCCCTTGGTCACTTCTCATGGAACTAGCAGGTGCTGACAGTGATGGGGAGGGTTACATACCAGGTTTTCTTCACACAGTTCTCTGAACTGGTAGAATTTCTGGGCCATGAGGAGTTGGGCACTGCCCACTGCAGTTCGGATTTTCCCTAGAACTGAAAAGAGCAAACATACAAGAAGTTTACACACAATGCCTAACCGTTGAGATTTCATCTGGCAAAGCAAAGAGAAAGTTATGTTGCAATAATTATGGATAGGGCTCACACACACAAAAAGGGGATCCCAACACGCTTCTTACCCCATTGGTCTGGGTAATAGAGGCTCTTAAGTTAAACCACCTGGACAAAACACATCATCGTCATGCCTATTTCCTAGGAGTCCTGGAGTTTTCCCACCCCAGCACTGGGTGTTACTGAGATAAGAAGCAAACAGCCTTTCCTTTCTTCTGTTACTGCAGGGATGACTTTCCACTGTTTCCCAGCCTAGCTCAACACACACAGATCTTGATCTGCGGTCCTGACTCTCTAAGCCGAACCCAAACACGGAGAAACAACAAAGAGAACGATTCCACCGGAAAGGACTCGTTCTCACTCACCGTCCCCAACCCCAGGCTCCGTGGTTCTCAGAGCCCAGCCTCCAAGCTGTTAGGAGAGAGCTGTGGAGTTGAGTGGTTTTCTAAGGAGAGAATATTTGCAGTCTGTCGCCTAGGCAACGCCAACACCATCCCAGCTCTATCCTCCACAGGCCCGCGCATTGTTCCTCCGGATTCCCTACACACTGTGCTGAGAATGCCCCCTTGCAAGCTCGCTCTTGTTGTCTGCAGTCTGCAGTCTGGGGCGATGTCTCAGCAGACAGGTGTGCACAAGCAGGGCGCCCGGGCCTTGTTAACAGAGGCCCTCCCAGCCCACGGTGAGGACGGGACAGCTGCCACTGCTGGAGCCCTGCCACCGGGCAGCTTCCAACACGCCCGGCCCGGCCTTAGAAGGAGGGGAGGAGCTGAGAGCTGGGAAGGGGGTTTGCACCTTCCCGGAGAGAACACTTGAGGGGGAGACTTCCCACCCGCACTGCCTCTTTTTGAATCTTCCTGGAGCTGCCACTACATGACTTAATCAACCGTCCTGAATATATTTAGCTTGGGAGTCATTCAGGAACCTCGTCCCTCTAGAGTGTCTCTGTCTCAGAGTCTCTTGGGGTGGCAGACCATTAAGCACAGAACCATTAACTGAAAGGTTGGTGGTTCAACACCTCCCAGAAATACTTTGGAATAAAGGCCTGGCTTTTCGAGGCTGATGACCTTTCGGAAGATGCTTTTGAGTAGGTCTGAACTGTCAGCCTCTCAAGGGACTCCCTGGTGTGGAGCTAAGGGCTCTCAATTCTGCAGGTGTTGCTGGGCTCTGTTGCAGTCTTAAGAAGAGGACTGAATAACATGGTGTTCTCAACAGAAGGGGGAAAACCCTACCCTGCTTTTAGAAGTCACCTGGGCAATAGGTAGGGGCTAACTTATATGTTTTCTTGAAAGCAAAACAAGGGAAATCTTTCTGCATTCAGCATGGTTTGGCCAGACCCTTAGTCTTAAAGCAAAAACATCCCTGGTGGAGCTGCGGCTTTTCTGTGTCCCAAGTTTTCACTATGGTGTTCCTTGGATGGAAATTCCCGGCTGTTTCCAGTGGCTGGCTTCTCTAACACCCCAGTGACATCTTCCTAAGCCCAGGGTGGAGAGGTGACAACTGAGCCCCAAGTGGAACCAGGGACCAGGAGGGCTTGGACTAGCAGAGAAGAGCTCATCTTTCCTGGCCCTCCACCCTTGCTTTTCCAGAGAACAAAAAGTCATTAACTCCTTTTAGTTCTTAAAAAGAAACTAAAAAACAAACAAAACTCTAATGAAGGGCTGTTTTGGAGTGTGGGGTTTTTTTATTTGTTTTCTTCCATTAGAAACTCATTTGGAATATAAGATCACTTTTTTCCCCTATAAAGAAATCTCATATTGGTTACATACACCTTGAGGAAATAAGAAGTTGATGACTAGTAATAGGTGAAGACTCTTCTGTACACAACAATAGGTAAAGAAAGTCTGTGTAAGTGAGCTGCTGAGCCAAAGCACGCCTCTCTAGTGGTTCGAATCCACCAGCAACTCCTTGAGATAAAGATGGGCAATCTCCCCCCATGGGATGTAATGGTCTCTGAAGCTCAGTGGAAGGTCAGATCTGAGTTGGTTCTGACCCAACAGCAATGCGTTTGAGCTTTTTTGAACAGATAAACACTAGAAGAAGTAAAATGTGGAAATAAAGAAGCATCTTAATGTCATTTTGAAAGTGCTCTAAAACATTCAATGCCAAGCTTCAGACCAATGGAAAGAAAACATTTCTCTCAGGGATGCTAGGTAAAGAAAGCAATAGTGAATTAAATACTCAAGCTGGTGTAACTACTGCTTTCCCGATGCATACTGAACAGCTCAAACTGAGTCTGAAAGACGTGGGAGAGTCTAGCATGCAGGCAGTTTCTTCAGGGCTGGCCTTGCAATTCACTTCTGGCCTGTGGGCGGCCAGACCTGGACTTTAAAGTCAGGAATGAGACAACAAAGAAGCTGAGAGGACTCCTGGACTCTGGGGGTCTGGTAGGCAAGGAAGGCTTGGCTTTGAACTACACTTTCATGGAGCAGGGCAGCCCTTGGTGCTTTGGAAGTTCATTCTTTCATTTGGTAATTCGGTTTTTTTTTTAAATTTTATTTTATATTGGTGTGCTTACAAAATTTGTATACATTGTGTTTCACACTACCCTTCATTCACACTGTGTTTCACACAATCATTTCCATTCATTGTTGTTTTTATGAGCCGTTGTGTCACTTGTGACTCATAGCGACTCTATGTACAACAGCTCTGAAACCTGCTCTATCCTGGGCCAATAAGGCTCTATCCTAGCCTTCCTGTCTCTGATCTACCTACACTCATTATCCCAGTCACTGAATTAATCCATCTTATCGAGGGTCTTTCTTTCTTGCACTGCCCTTTCACCCTCCCAAACATGATGGCCCCCTGTAAGAACTGGTTCTTCCTTGCAATATGTCCAAAGTATGTCAGACAAAGCTTCAGAATCCACAACTCCAAGGAGCAGCCTGGTCTCACCCTCTCTAGAACCTGTTTGTTTTCTTAGCAGTCCATGGTATGTATATTCAATACTCTTCTCCAGCACCACAGCTCAAAGGCATCAAGTCTCCTTCTATCATCTCTAGTCATTGACCAGCTCTCTAATGCATAGCACATAATTGCGAAGCAATTCAAAGCATGTAATGGCCTGGATCAAGTGCATCATAGTCACCAGACTGACATCATTGCTCTTCAGTATTCTGGAGAGGTTTCTGACAGCAGACTTCCAGTTCATTTCGTCTTTTAATTTCCTGGCTGCTAGTACCAAGAGTGTTGATTGTGGAGCAAAGTAAACTAAAACTATTAACAATCTCAGTCTCTTCACCATCTATCATGATGCTGCCAATTGGCCCAGTGGCGAGAATCTTTTTTTTCTTGATGTTGCACTTCAATCCATATTCCCATTCATTATGTTTTATAAAATTAATCACCATTGGACTATGCCCACCATTAACCAGTCTTTTTAGATCCCTACGGATCTTTCCAATTTCCTTTACTGATAATTATTTCTTCAGGGCATACTATATGGCAAGCACTCTGCTAGGTGGATGTGATACCATGATAGCAAGATGAAGTCTCTGTCTTCATGGGGCTTATGTTTGGTAAAGAATACTGAGTGGGAAAGAGAGGGATCAGGTATCTAAGTACAAATTAAATATTTTGGATTTTTTAATTATAAAGCAAATTGGGACAGATGAGGCTGACCTTGATTGAACATATCAAAGGATATGAAATTCCTTAAACAGTGGTTAGAGAACACTGACTGTTTTCTTGGGTTCCTTCTCCTAAAAAATGGAAAACAAGCAAACAGAAAAACCCCTTAGTAGCGTGAAAACTGCCTCTAGAGTAAACATCTTGTTTCAGAAATTACTATTTGATAATGCTGTATTTTATAATAAATAATTTTATAATTAATTTTTTTTTTACTTTGGAAAACAATTAAAACATATGGATGCAGAAAGGGCAAGGAAGCAAACACACACACACACACATATATATATATATTTTTTTTTCCCCCCTCAGAGGCAGAAATGCCCAGATATGTTTCTAATGTTTTTTCCCCTTTTCCCCATCTCTCTCTCCAAGGAAATGAAACAGTACAGCTAAAGTAGCAGACTGTCATACAGTCCCATTCATCTCTTTCTCTGGAGGGAACCACTGGACTAGACAATGACCATTCCAGTCTCATCTATGAGCTAATTGAGATCTCTTCTCTTATCCTAGAAAGGTGACAACTAAAGGTCATCAGTTAGGAAATAAAAAGACAAATCATATTGGGAAAATCTGCTACCAGGGACCTCTCCAGAAGTTAAAGAGCAACAATGCCAGTCTAGAGACTAAGGTACACCTGATCCAAACCACAACCATCTCAACTGCTCACTCTGCATATAAGAGCTAGGTAACAAGTAAGGTTGGCCAAAGAATCAATGCCTTTGACTTGTGGTGCTGGAGAAGAGCACTGAACATACTGTGGTCTGACAAGAGAATAAACAGGTCTGTCTTGAAGATGATTAAACCAGGTTGCTCCTTGAGGCAAAGATTTTGAAACTGCATCTCACATACTTTGGGCATGTTGTCAGTAGGGGCCAGTCCTTGGAGAAGGACATCATACTTGGAAGGGTGGAGGGTCAGTGCAGGAGAGGAAAACCTTGGATGAGATGGATTGACACAGTGACTGTGGCAATGGGGTTGGATGCATCGGAGACTGTGAGGTTGGTTCAGGATAGGGCAAAGCTCAAAGGTCTTATTCACAGGGTAACCATAAGTCATCATCCACTCAACAGCACCTAACAACAAGAGCCTTTTGAGTGTGAGGGAAAAGCTTTACACTGAGATAATACAAGTCCGAGTCCTTCAACAGCACACTTTCTCTGAAACCCAGCAAGGGGTTAAGGCTCCTCAGCACAAAAGGAAGATACGCTGGTGTCCTTGTAGTCCTTCTACATTATACAACCCCAGTGTGACTGACAGATTTTACCATCCTTCTCCCTCAGGGCACATTTGGCATATCT